CAAAGCACAGGGACCGCGGTTCAATCCCCCAGCACCACATGCCAGCCAGCCCCGTCCCCTGGTGGGCTGAGCTGGCCACACACACACACACACAAATAAAATTAAAAAAAAAAAAAGCTGCTGGATTCTACATGCTAACTCTAACTGGAGTTGTTCATACATTTTATTTTATTTTTTTTAATTTTTTATTTTTTTACATTCATTGTGTGTGTGTGTGTGTGTGTGTGTGTGTGTGGCCAGCTCAGCCCACCAGGGGGCGGGGCTGGCTGGCATGAGGTGCTGGGGGATCAAACTGCGGTCCCTGTGCTTTGCCAAGCTTGTTTCAAGTAGGTGCTTTAGACCACTGAGCCATCTCTCCAGCCCCTGTTCTTACATTTTATTCATTCAAGCAGATTCGCATTATAAATGACAGGTACTATACTTTTATTTGCCTTCACACCTGCCAAATGTAACTTTCCTTAACAGCTATGATGCTTCCAGAGCCTATAACTAGCACATCACATACCAACCAAGCTAGGCCAAGATTTCTATAAAAACATTATAATTTTCCTGACCAAATTATTCTTTAATCAGAACCCCTGATCAAACTCTCTCCTGTAAGAATCTTAAATATTTAGGATTATGTATCAAATATGCAGAAGTCCAATGCCCTTTATCTACAATTTTAGTTTTAACATTTCCTCCACCCTTCTCTATAAATATTATCATTGTTTTGAAACAAGGCCTTGAACTCACAGCAATCCTCCTGCCTCAGCTTCCCAAGTACTAAGGGTTACAAGCTTTGCCACCGTACACACACCTCTATAGATACTTTTTTTTTTTGCATTTTAGTACAGGATCTACAGGAAAGATACTATTTTTAAACAGTGAACACTAAAAGGACTCTTGATTATTCAAAAGCCCAATAAGATTCAGGGTCCATAGTAATAGAAAGGTATTCTAACATTCATTTGTTGTTTTGTGGGTTGGTTTGTTTTTTGAGACCGGGTCTTGCTCCACAGTTCAGGCTGGCTTCAAACTCACTTTGTAGCCCAGGCTAACCTCGAACTCACAGCAATCATCCTGCCTCAGCCTCCTGACTGCTGGGATTACAGGCCTGTGCCACTACATCTGTTTCTAACATCCATTTGGAATAAATAAACCACTGTATCAAAAAGTAAACTCCAAAACTCTAAGTGCGTCTATTCAACAAGCTGAATGTGCTACTTCAGAAACAGGTCTACATTTTCTTCACTCTTTTCATTTTAAAAAGCCACACAAGAAAAAAAAAAAAAAAAAAAAAAAAAAAAAAAAAAAAAAAAGCCACACAAGAGCTGGTGAGATGGCTCAGTAGTCTAAAGCACCTACTTAGAACAAGCTTAGCAAAGCACAAGGACCGCGGTCCATCCCCCAGCACCACATGCCAGCCAGTCCCGCCCCCTGGTGGGCTGAGCTGGCCACACACACACACACACACACATAAATAAATAAATAAATTAAAAAATAACAATAATAATAATAAAGGCCATGAAAGTACCCTTCTTTAAAACTTATGTTTTCAGGGCCAAGTTGTTCAGCGGATTAAAGCACCTACAAGCAGGCACAGGGGCCGAAGGTTCATTCCCCAGGCCTGGTGCGCCAGCCCCGTGCCCCCCCCCCCCCCCCCCCCAGGGCATGCTGAGACAGCGATTAAGACTGGGTATGGTGGTGCACACCTGTAATCCCAGCTCCTGGGAGGCTGTAAACAGGCGAATCACTATGAGTCCAATCTAGTAGTGAGACCCTGAACACCCTGTAGACCCTTCCCTAAAAATACAAAAAAAAGTAATGAATTATATTATACACTAGACACCTAGTTTATTTTTTAGAGTAATATTCAATTTGTTTTTCAAGCCAGGCAAAATGGATGAAAAGGTTGGCTACTTTTTTAGGGGTGGTACTGGGAGTTGAATCCAAGACTGCACTATGTCCCTAGAATACATTTTATTTTTTAAATTTTGAGTCTCACTAAATTGCTCAAGCTGGGAACTGGGGATTTGGCTCAAAAGTACAAATGCCTGACTAGCAAGTACAAGGCCCTGAGTTTGATTCCCAGTAGCTAGCTAAATAAACAATCTCCTCAGGCTGGCCTTGAACTTGTGATTCCCCACCTCAGCATCTGGGATTATAAGAATGTGCCACCACACCTGACTAACAGTGGCTTCATTTATTTTTTACAAAATTTTAAGCTTAAAAAGTACAGGGCCAGCCAGATAGCTCCGCAAACTAAAGCGCCTGCTCTGGCAGAGCACAGGGGCTGGGGTTCCACCCCCTGGTGAGCCATGCTGGCCCCACCCCTGGGGCGCACTGAGACTGCAATTGAGACTGGGCAAGGTGCTGTGCGCCTGTAATCCCAGCACTTGGGAGGCTGAAAACAGGAGAATCACTTGAGTCCAATCTATATAGTGAGACCCTGTAGACCCTGTACCAAATACATAAAAATAAGTAAATAAAGTACATACCTTTTGAGAACTCAGTGTAAGTAAGGTTGATCCTTCTAGATATGCTTTTTGATATAGCAAAGTAAGTAGGATATTGACAAAAGCAAGCCAAGTCTGGAAATCCCACAGCGATCTCCATGTATCTTACATAGGATACTAACCTGTACCTCTGAAAATCTTCATGCCGCAAACCATGCTGCTGCTGAGATTCCTTGATAATCTGAAGAACTGGAACCAAAATTAAGGAAAAGCTTACAGTAGCAAAAATCAAAACAAATCAAAACCCAATAGAAAACAATCTAAATAAGCCAACACTGTATCATTAGTCTGTATTTGTGTTGAACCCTAACACAATAAACATTTGTGAAATTCTTAGTACATTAACTACTGAAACCTTTTGTAACCTTTCTCAATTGTGATCTTGTCATACATAAAACAAGGCTATTTTTTTCATAAAAGTGAACCACCTGAACTGTTACTATGTTCAACATAAAAAAGATATTACTGGGGCTGGTGAGATGGCTCAGTGGTCTAAAGCACCTACTTAGAACAAGCTCAGCAAAGCACAGGGACCGCGGTTCAATCCCCCAGCACCACATGCCAGCCAGCCCCGTCCCCTGGTGGGCTGAGCTGGCC